TGGCCCAAAGTCACTCAATCAGTGTTCATGCCTAAGGCAGGACTAGAACTCACCGTCTCCTGGTGACTGGTCCAAAGTCACCCAATCAGCTTTCATGCCTAAGGCAGGACTAAAACTCACCGTCTCCTGGTGACTGGTCCAAAGTCACCCAATCAGCTTTCATGCCTAAGGCAGGACTAGAACTCACCGTCTCCTGGTGATTGGTCCAAAGTCACCCAATCAGCTTTCATGCCTAAGGCAGGACTAGAACTCACCGTCTTCTGGTGATTGGCCCAAAGTCACCCAGCTGGCTTTCATGCCTAAGGCAGGACTAGAACTCACCGTCTCCTGGTGATTGGTCCACAGTCACCCAATCAGCATTCATGCCTAAGGCAGGACTAGAACTCACCGTCTCCTGGTGATTGGTCCACAGTCACTCAATCAGCGTTCATGCCTAAGATGGTACTAGAACTCACCGTCTCCTGGTGACTGGCCCAAAGTCACCCAATCCGCGTTCATGCCTAAAGCAGGACTAGAACTCACCGTCTCCTGGTGATTGGTCCACAGTCACTCAATCAGCGTTCATGCCTAAGACGGTACTAGAACTCACCGTCTCCTGGTGACTGGCCCAAAGTCACCCAATCAGCATTCATGCCTAAAGCAGGACTAGAACTCACCGTCTCCTGGTGATTGGCCCCAAGTCACTCAATCAGCGTTCATGCCTAAGACAGAACTAGAACTCACTGTCTCCTGGTGACTGGCCCAAAGTCACCCAATCCGCGTTCATGCCTAAGAAGGTACTAGAACTCACAAACTCCCACTTTCTAGCCCCACGCCTTAACCTAAGCCAGACCCAACTGGCTCCTGAGCATGATGAAAGATTTTTCAAGTTAGAAAGACAACAAAACCACTGTCCCCCCCTTTTTTTTTTGTCTTCTTAGCTGCCTGGCTTAGAGAGCATCTTCTCCACCCACCCTCCTTCTTTTGGAGAGATATAGGATTAGGAAAGATTTATTTAATTGCATTAGCTTACTATACATGGGGGAGGTTGGGAAGAACCAGAACGAGGAAGGGAAGGAGGGATGCGTTCCAATTTGGGGTTATCAATCAATGGACCCTTATCCGAAGGACTAGGCAGATAAATACCCATGTTTTATTCTCTCCCACCAACCTTTCCCCGGCTATTATTTTCCAGGGAAGCGATAGAGAGAGAGAAAGAAACAGAAAACCAAGAAGACTCCGTGTTATCTCTCCTCTACAGAACTTCTAAACACAGACTAATTTGTCTTCTCTGCTTATTCTTCCAAGCCACCTTCCTATCTCCCTCCCAAGAGATGAATCCAGCACACGCAGCTCCTAGGTACAGCTGGCGGCTAGACAGATAATTGCCCAGAGCTTCATTTTTTATTTTAAAAAAAAAATGGCAAATAATCTTTCGTCCCTACACCGAGGAAATGGAAAAGAGGAGAAGAAGAAGAAAGAAAGAAAGAAAGCGTTAGAAACTTTTTTTTCCACTTCCGCAGGAGGAAGGGTGACGGCCAGTTTGGTCGGGTGGTTTAGGCATTGGGCTGGGAAGTGGGAGACAGTGAGTTCTAGTCCCATCTTAAGCATGAAAGCCAGCTGAGTGATTTGGGGGAAATCACCAGGAGACAAGGAGAAAGCCAGCTCCTCCTCCTCCTCCTCCTCCTCCTCCTCCTCCTCCTCCTCCTCCTCCTATCCCTCTTCCTCCTCCAAAAATATTTCAAACTCCAAACATGGATATCCTACCTAGCCTTAAAACCCTGATCGGCAAATGGACACAAGAGAGATGATCTATTTGGCAAAGAAAGAGAAAGAGAGAGAGAGAGAGAGAGAGAGAGAGAGAGAGAGAGAGAGAGGGAGGGAGGGAGGGAGGGAGGGAGGGAGGGAGGGAGGGAGGGGGGGAGGGAGGGNAAGAAGGAAGGAAGGAAAAAGAAAGAAAGAAAGAAAGAAAGAAAGAAAGAAAGAAAGAAAGAAAGAAAGAGAAGGAAAGGAAAGGAAAGGAAAGGAAGGAAGGAAGGAAGGAAGGAAGGAAGGAAGGAAGGAAGGAAGGAAGGAAGGAAAGAAAGAAGACTAAGATTTTTGTTTGTTTCTTCAAAATGTCAGATGCTGAAAAAGCTACAAAATCCATCATGCTCTATTTGTTTGCTTCTTCTCAGAAGCCACAAGCTGGGTGAAGATCTAAGGAAGGGAACATGTGCGAGGGAAGGGAAAGTCTTAATCAATTGCAGGGACCGATTGCTTGAGGTAAGTCCAGATGTGGACAATGCAAACAGCCCAGGATGTTAAATAACATTTATGGAATTTGCACAAGAGGGGATGAAAGAGGTTTACTCAACTCCCAAACTTGGCCTTTGGGTTGTGTTACCCAAAGAAGGGATGGAGGAGCAGGATTGGGGGAAGGCACAACTCAGCCTGCACGTGTCTGCCTGACAGGCAACTTCAAAACACAACCTCTCCCTGGAATTGTCGACAGCTTCAACAGCTTCCAAGGAGAGATGTTTCCTTTCAAGAAGTGGAGAAGAAAATAAGTTGCAAGAGAGACACTCAGGGAAGTGGAGGTGGTGGAAGGAGGCGAGCAATAATCTGAAAGAGAAATGGGTTGGCCTGATCTTTGTGTAGATCAGAACGTCACACTGTGGGGTTTTTTGGTTTTTTTTGATCCTACAGCCTGGATCGTGAAAGCAAGGACCTTGTCCTATTTTTGAGCGTGGGTTCCTGAGGGTAGGAGCTTCAACGCCTAGAACCTGCAGAAAAATTAGGTCGTTCCATCACAGGTTAGTGGCCCTTTGCCTCTTCTGCTGATGCTCGCTCAGAAGTTATCTTATTCAACCATTTGAGTTGAGCGTTGGACAAAACACTTTCCACACAGAAGGTCCCATGTTTCACCTTCAGCTTCTCCTCTTCACCCAAGGGTGCTTTTTCCCAAAGGCAACTGGACTTTCTTGGGTTCTGCTGGAAGACGTTTCACTTCTCATCCAAGAAGCTTCTTCAGTTCTGAATGTCCAGGCAAAAACCAAGAGAAGCCAGTTGCTTTTTGGGAGAAGCACCTGGGGGACAACCACAACCTGGATGACTGAGAATCTCCATGGACATCTCTTCTTCAGATGATTTTGGGTGTCCATGCTGAAAAAAGACAGGAACCGGAAATCTGGAGTGGACCAAGACGTTCTCCTACCTGAAGACAAGAAGGTGGCTTTCCTAATTTATGGGCAACTCAACTGCTTCAGCCTTTGAACACTTGACATTCTTCATTGAAGCTAAAGGTAGAAGGAGAACTCAGTGGATGAAAGGGAGGCTCTGTCCCATAGAAGTCAATTTCCTCAATGTCTATGGAGGTTCTCCGTCATCCAGGTCATGGTGGTCCCAAAGGTGCTTTTTCAGGAGGCATCTGGACTTCCTTGTTTTTATTTGAAGACGTTTTGCTTCTCATCCAAGAAGCTTCTTCAGCTCTGACTAGATGGTGGGGAATGGAAGGATTTATACTCCTTGCAGACTGCTGGTCATCTGCAGTCCTTTAGAGAGTCATTGAGGCCACTTGGAGGTTTACCTGTGTCCTCAGGGTCACCTGAGTGGTGCAAATGGAAAACATTCTGCAGCCAAGAAGGCTCCACACCCATTTGCACCACTCATCCAAGAAACCTCCAAGTGGCCTCAATGACTCTCTAAAAGGATGCAAATGACCAGCGGTCTGCAAGGAATATCAATCCTTCCATTCCCCACCATCCAGTCAGAGCTGAAGAAGCTTCTTGGATGAGAAGCGAAACATCTTCAAAGGAAAAACAAGGAAGTCCAGTGGCCTCCTGAAAAAAAAAACCCACCTTTGGGACAGTTAATTTCCTCCTATTGTCAAAGGACCGCTTAAACTTGCCCAACCCATTGACGAAGGAAGGACCAATACACCTAATACAGACTTACCTCCTTTAAACCAGGGTTTGGAGTGATTAAAATAGGAACTGGTCTTCTAATCAACTTCCAACAATCGTCTGGATCTCTCCTTTCAAATGCCAGAAGACCAGAATTGTGCATTCTGTCTCCCAAAAGCGTTTGACCCCACAACAGACATGACTCTTTGGCCAGTAGGGAATCTTAAAAATGTATGGACTCCTGAGTTAGAATCAACTGCGTGATGGGAACTGTAGTCCCAAGACACAAGAAGATAGCCTCCGCCGCGCCCTCAAGACATGGCTTTTTCAACAAGCGGGACTGACCTAGGGTGAATTTTAAATAGGGAAAATTTTTTTAAAGATTTTAATAATGACACAGCCATAAATATATTTGGTTTTTAATTGGTTTTATAGGGGAAATGTTTTTTGTGTTGTTTTTTTTTTTTTTTAATATGCTGTGAGCCGCCCTGAGTCCCGTGGGGAGAAGGGCGGCATAGAAGTTGGAAAAATAAATAAATAAATAAATAAATAAAATAAAAATCCTGTTGTATTTAACGTTTACGTTCTGCTGAGAATCTTAGTCACCAGGACACTGTGTTTTGCCTTCAAATTCTTGGGGTTATTGCCACCCAGACTTTGTATTGCTAGACGCAGCACAATGTTCATTTTTACACAAAGGAGAACTGTTGCCTCATTTCCCCTGCTAACAATCCCTCCCTCCCTCCATGTCTGAAGGTTGAGTCACGGCAACTGGACCAAACTTTGTTAATCTGAATTGCTCATCCAAGCGACTTCATCAGTCACTGCAAAAACAGTTAGGCAGAAAGTCAAAGAAATGGAATGTACCAACACTTGCTTCAGGGGTTTCCACACCAACTTCAGGGGTTTCTTCCGCCCCCCATATGGCTTGCAGTTGATTTTGCAAGAGTTGGTACATTCCAATGACCCTCAGACTCTCTTCCTAACTAATGAAGTTGCTTGGATGAGCAACGAAACATTTCAGGTTAACAAAGTTTGATCCCAGTTACCATGATTCAACCTTTAGGTTCCTTTGGCCCAGGTTATTGAGTCTTCCTTGAGTTGCTTCCCTCCATCCTTGTCTTCCCTTTTGCTTACTTGTACAATCCATCAGGTTCCAAGCATTTGAAAATGACCGAGTACATTTCTTGACCGTCTTGGCTGTCCCCGTGAGTTCTCCCGGCAGCAACGCAGGCGGTCCCAAGGCCGGACAGCAAATCATCCGCAAAGCTCAAGGACTCTCCTGTGGATCCAAAACAAAAGACAAAAACGACAAACGAGAGACACCGCTCAGTGCATTGATTCAACAGAGGCGTTTAAAATAGCAAAATTGAAGGAGGAGATGCTTTTTTTCCCCCTCCAGATTGCACCCCTGCCTCGCAAATGCGCACAGCCTGGCTTTCTGCAGTTTGCAATCTGGTCCTTATCAGTTGGATGGTTCCGTAATTGGTGGGCTGGCAAGGATCTGAATCCTTGGCATCTTGCCATTCCCGTAGCTGGAATGTAGGAATCGGTTTCCCGATGACCAAGTTGACTAGAGGGACCTAATGCTAAATTGGAAAACCCAATAACAATCAGAATAGAGCAGGAAGGGACCTTGGGGGGTCTTCTAATCCAACCCCCTGCTCAAGCAGGAGACCCTATACCCTATACCAGGGGTCTTCAAACTTGGCCCTTTTATGACTTGTGGACTTCAACTCCCAGAATTCCTCAGCCAGTCATGCTGAGGAGTTGAAGTCCACAAATCTGGCTAAGGAATTCTGGGAGTTGAAGTCTACAAGTAGCCAAGGTTGGAGACTTAATTCCAAGAATTCCTCAGCCTGACTTGTGAACTTCAACTCCCAGAATTCCTCAGCCAGCACGCCTGGCTGAGGAATTCTGGAAGTTGAAGTCCACAAGTCATAAAAGGGACAAGTTTGAAGACCCCTGCCCTATACCATTCCATACAAAGCGTTGTCCAATCTCGTCTTAAAATCCTCCAGTGATGAAGCACCCACAACATCTGAAGGCAAAAGTCATTCCACTGGTTTATTGTCCTCACTGTCAAGACATTCCTCCTTAGTTCTAGGTTGCTTCTCTCCTTGAATTGTTTCCATCCATTGCTTCTTGTCCTGCCTTCTGGTGCTTTGGAAAATTAGTTGCCCCCCCCCCCCGTCTTTTGTGGCAGCCCCTCAAATACTGGAAGATGCTCTCATGTCACCCCTAGTCTTCCTTTTCTCTAGATTAGCCATCCCCAAATCCTGCAACCATTCTTCATATGTTTTAGTCTCCAGCCCCTTAATCATCTTAGCTGCTCTTCTCTGCCCCCCCCCTTTTTTTTTCAAAGTCTCAACATCTTTTTTTGTAAGGCGGTGACCAAAACTGGATGCAGTATTCCGGGTGTGGCCTTACTAAGATTTTACAAAGCGGTACTAATACTTCACGTGATTTTGACTCTATGCCTCTTGTTTATACAACCCAGGATTGTTTTAGCTTCTTTTTTCGGCTTCCTACATGCCCACTGGAAAGGACGAGCTTGTGTGGAAGGAAAGCAGAAGCAACCCATCATCTATAGAAGGACTGGATGCTTGAGAGAGAGCGAGAGAAAATAATAATAATAATAAATAGTTGTAATAAATGGGAATCCTAGAAAGAAGACGAAGAAGGGAGAAGCTATCAATTCCGCGCATCGTTTCGGCCAGATAAAGGATCTTTCTTTCGATAATTCCTTTCTCTTTCAAACTGTTTTTCATTTGCAGCTGTAGAAGGCTCCGGGTGATCTTGGCACGATCTGGGGGTTAGAAATGAAGTCAGCGAGGCTGGCTGGCTGGGTGGGTGGGGGTGAGGAGCAGCAAAGGAAGATGAGACATTAATCTCCCTTACCTATCCCTCTCTTTGCCCCCCACCCCTGCAAAAAAAATACCATTTTATCTCCTTTCGCTTTGTCTGTCTTTGAAGCACAGGGCTGAAGGAAGATCAGTTCCTATTCCACCTCCTCTGGCTGAACATAATGGAAACAAGGAGCAACGGCTTGCCTGGATAAATAAATATATAGTCTTAGATCTGGCACAGCCATGATCAAATTCCAGCCCCAATGGAGCCGTAATGGAGAACAGGCACAGACTTGTACCAGGGGGGTCTCCATTCGCTCTTCGTTTTTGAGGACAGGAAAACAGGAGTGGGATCGTTAGGAGGCACACACACAGACACACACAGATACACACACACACACACACACACAAAAACAAATGACTTGGAGGAAGACAACCTTTTATAACTGCTTCCCTCCCATCCCTGCCCACCAAATTTGCCAACGGAGGTAGCGGTAATGAGAGGAAAGTGAGCTAGGAAGCGTTTCCATTTGAAGCCCGTCTTTTGGTTTCTCCTGCTTCTTTGTTCAGGAAACACCTGGAGCTGGGAGGTCAATAAAAATAGGTCCCATATGATGTGTGTCGTGGCACAGTCCCCCCCCCTTTCCAGGTTTGTACCTCGAGATGTCAAGATCAAAGGGGGTGGGGGTGGGGGGGAGAGAGGTGGTCCCAGCGATGGGGAGGCCAGGAGGCTGTAGAACATCAACAATCTTGACCCACTGGAGGCCTCCTCACAGTAGCGTGGGGCCCATCCCAACTTAGACAAGTAAAAAAAAAAACCTCAAGGAGAATAACCTTGGTGAGAGAGGGGACAAATTCAAATCTCAAGGAAGGAAGGAAGGAAGGAAGGAAGGAAGGAAGGAAGGAAGGAAGGAAGGAAGGAAGGAAGGAAGG